AATATGTAAGCTAAAATACGTTGTGGTACTCCCAGAATACTTCCTCACTCCAGCTCGCTGCCTAAAATACTGGCACCCTCATCATTTAACTAATTATAGCTTTTTTTTTTTTTTTTTTTTTTGCATCTCAACTCTGTGTTCCTTAGTAAAAATACATCAAGAACAACTTAAAGTCAAGGACTACTTTTTCAAGCAGCAGTGGTGTGTGTGTGTGTGTGTGTGTGTGTGTGTGTGTATTCATGGGTACACATGGGCACACTTGAAGGCAGCTGTAAGATTATAAATGTAACAAAAGAAACAGTATCCAACACGAAATGAGTCAGGATGTGAATAAAACTTACTTGGCAGGCATAAGAACAGAAAATGAATGAAACATACATAGACACAAGGCACATATACAATAGATATATGTTAATGTGCAGTTTGACTTAATTTCAAGACAGGTGTCTATAACTGGACTCCTGTTGTCATTTTCCTGTCTCGTCTATTCACAAGAGTCTTCATGTACAAAATCATCCCTGACATGCTCAGAAAGGCTGAGCCAGGGAAATGTTGGTCCCCCCTTTAGAGACACCAAGAGCCATGGATGTTCTGCTCCAGCCATCTCTGAGAGAGAGAGAGAGAGAGAGAGAGAGAGAGAGAGAGAGAGAGAGAGAGAGAGACCCTGTCCAGGAACTAACAGGATCTGAGCCAGACGTGGGTGGTCCCTCTTTTTAACACCTGGTACCTCCATCTCCAGCTTAACTGGAAAGTTACTGAGGTGACTCCCTAAGATAGAAAATAAATCATTAAAAGATTTTCTAACAAATTCTTTCTAAACACCAAGCTTCTTAAAAACACAGGTGTGTCTGTAAATCTCTTTGTAATGTTCCTATAATACACATGAAAGAAAGAAAATGTTCCTACCATCATAAAGGATACAAACAGAATTCAATTTCCCACAATAATGCTAATACCAACAGCAGTTGATATAATAATATTCCTAGGGACATGGAATTTAACAGAAAATGTTTGAAAAGTATGCCAGCAAAAGAATAATGGTATCGATAGTGCATATGTTTATCTCCCAATGACAAAATCACATTTTGGCTTCTGTGTTGCGTAATAGCTGGCCAAGCCTGGGTCCCACCATAAACTGCACAGCATGTCAGGAGTTTGGGAAAGAGTGAGTGATTTGGAGAAAGGAACCTGTAGTGGGTAGCTGTTCTAGCCTTGACCTTGAAATACTGCCCCAAGTGTGACAGCAGGTAACTGCCATACCTGTCTATGACCTGTCCCTGGGGTGTGGCTGAGAGGGAGCCCCTTAAGACTTGAGGTGCATCCGTGCTGGCCCCTTCTAGATACCTCGTGGTCCTGGAAGCTGGATCTCATCTCTCCTGGATCCTGCAACCAACCCCTACTGGCTGTAAGTTACCCCAGAAATAAACCTCTCTGATTACCAGATAAATTATGTGGAATTTCCTCGTTAATTACAGCTATAGGAACCTTGAAAACCATTTCTGAAGGATTTCCACTGTTTTATAATCAGCACAAAAGTAACAGAGGCAAGGACGGCCTGCCAGAGTCATAGCTTTCCGCTTGCACTGGGGCGTTGTGACCAAGAAGTTGTGGGTGGGTCTACTCTGATTACTCCTACATAGAGTGGTATGGGTAGCCATGATGTGTGCCACAGAGGCTTGGCCACATCAGAACTTTGCTGGTGGTCTTCCGTGCTCAGGCTTGAAGGAACGATAGAGGTAGGAGATGGAGAAACTGAAGCAGAGACTCATCATGGCTCTTTGACACACGATAGAGTGCCAAACATGTCTGAGACTGATCTTTGTGGGGAAAAAATTATGCTGTATCACTGAAAGTTGGGGTTTCCACTATCTCTACATTTATCTTGTACCTAATTAGCATGGCCGGCTATGGGGAACCATGAGCCTCCCCCTTCCCCTTGATAGGGCCAAGATTTCCTTTCAACCACAGAGATTCACAAGAAGACTCTTTAGAAAAATGTTTTCACTCCTTTGCTCTTTATGCTTTTTCTTTTTGCATTTTCCCAATCATGTCTCCTTTGTAGTCACCTGTTAATCCCTCAGAGATGGAGGCTGTGATTCTTAGAGAGGTGAATACTGAGAGGGGCTGAGCTGAGCCACCAAGGCGCCCTTTCCACCCCATGGTATCCTCACTCTCCCTCCCCAGGGTTACTGGGGTCACACTCCCAGGCTTGCCAGTGTTCCCCGATGGTTAGAGGGAGGTGGCTTTGCAGAAATGGCTCTGGCATCTTTGGGGAAAGGCTAGCACCAGGGAGGGGCTTGCTGCACAGAGGGATCGTAGACCATGCAGGAAAAGCAACTTCACTGTGTTTGCTGACAAAGGGTTCCAAAAGGTCTAAGTGCGACCGAGCCCCCGGCCACCCCTGACACTTTCTGAGGTTGCGCAACAGAACAGCTACCATGTCTATTCTTCCAAGCAAAGCCAAACACTGCACACAGGGCAGCGGCCCTTCGCATAATCTCCCTGGAATCGGGGTTGTAGCAACTTTTGAGCTCCATTTTGTTCATTGGAAACTTGCTTGAGAAAACATCCACGCTGGTGCTTTTCCCTTGTGCCCTTGAGTTCAGGTTCAGAAGGAAGTGAGTCTGCTCCAAATAATTCTGGTGATGTGAACACATAGGTGAGTGTACATGTTGCTGTGTTCCTAGCTGATTTCATACCAAGTCATCTAGACCAGCCCCTGAAAAGGGGTCCCCAGCATATTAGGGACCAAAGCCTGGTTGGTTATTAATTCGTCTCCGTGCTTGAAGACCAGTCTCAAGGTGCTGTAACACCAAAGAAAGAGGCATCCAGATCTCAAATCACTCATGGTACAATCTACCAGGCACTTCCCAGTGGAGGTTTGGTCCCTGGCAACACCAATGTCAGGTGAGTTCCCAGACTTGGGTCAGAAAGAGGAACTTTCTGCCTCCAGCTGATATCAGAGTGAGCCAAATCCTGGGGCTTTGGCTCTGGTGAAAGGGTCCATCCCCCATCCAGTGGCTTTGTCTATTGCAATTTACGGAGAAACTGTGTGGGACAACTAGCAAGGTTGCTCCTGACAATCCTGGTTATGGTTCAAGAGGACTGCTGTCATGTCAAGCTGAGTTCATGTGGTTACAGATCTGTGGAAGGATTTGACATGAGGAGTGCAGGGTCCTTATTCCTATGGCTGCTGTTTGAGGATGATAGGAATACTGTGCTTACAATGCCCCCGAGTGGGTCCAGCTTCCAACTCTTACCTGCTGTACAATTTTGGAAAGAGAATTTTCCTCTCTATGCTTCACTTTCTTCTTCTGATACATGGGGGTTGCAATGATACCTTCCTCACAAGGTTTTATGAGGACAACATGAAAAGGATTTAAACTCTTTGACAAATCACTGTAATAATAACCATCAATTTGTACTGATTGATATTACTAATAATTAATGCTACTAGTAAAATGAAGATTGCATTATCTACCAAATTTAATAAGTTTATAGTCATCTAGGGTGACTGCATTCATCTCAAAAGGTCTCTAGTGAGACTGAGTAATCCAGAGATCTCTGACAGAGCATGGACTGATATAACAGATGTGTGCCACTCACTTACCTGTCTCTAGGTTCTTGCCCAGGTCAAACCAATGACATCTGCAGGTGTTCAGCTCCTGCCCCATGCTGAAAAGACATTTTCCTTTCACAGGGGTCGTATTCATACCTCTTTTTCTCTGTCACAAGGAGAAGATACTAGCGTGGTAGACCAGGCCACCAGCCTAGGCTTGCATTTCAAAAGGCCCATTTTGGCCCCTGCTAAAACTATTGAAAATTCTGTGAAATGTGTAGCACGGTTTTCTGGTTACTCTGTTCTCAGGTTGAATGCTGACCTCAATTTCCATTCAAACCTACAGTGCCTTCACCACCTTTGCAGATGCTTTGATATCATTAGAATTTTGTAGCTGAAGTTTTCTCCAGCCCTGCCCAGGCCCATGGACTCTGCAACCACTTATAAAATAATCACTCAGAGGTTATATTAATTAAACTACTCGGCCATTAGCTCAGGCCTACCACTGACTAGCTCTTACACTTAAACTCGGCCCATTTCTGTTAATCTATATGTCGCCACGTGTTCTGTGGCTTTACTTGCTGCCTTTACATGCTGCTCCCTGGACGGCAAGCTGGCATCTCCTGACTCAGGTTTCCACTTCCCAGAATTCTCCTCTCTCCTTATCCTGCCTACACTATACTTCCTGCCTGGCTACTGGCCAATCAGCGTTTTATTTATCAATCAATCAGAGCAAAACATTTACAGCATACCCAGCAGAATTTCTTCCATGCATTCGCACACTGTGTGCTTGCGTATAAGTGTGCATGCTTGCACTAGTGTGTGTAAGTTCACTTATGCATGTGGGAGAATTGGTGTGGATACCGAAGGACAGCCTCTGGTGTGGTTCCTCAGGAATATTCACCTTGTTTACTGAGACAGGTTCTTTTGCTGGGGTTCATTACATAGGCTAGCCCAGGAGCCCGCCTGTCTTGCCTCCCCAGTGCTGGGATTACAAGTATGCACCACCCTGTCTGGTATTTGATGGGGATGATGGGGATCACATTCAGGTCTTCATGTTGTGCAACACACACATCACTGACTGGACTATCTCTCCAGACCCCACAAATCCATTTGTTCAACAGTTGATGTGCATCAGCCCTATCCTCACAAAAGATCGGCTCTCCATTCCTTGGGGGCCTCCACATACCTGCCGTGGTACCAATGGGGCCTCCACATACCTGCCGTGGTACCAATGGGGCCTCCACATACCTGCCGTGGTACCAATGG